ACCCCCTCCCTGGGGGACGGACAACAGAAAAGTGGGGGAAGGGAGACGTCGGACAGTGTAAGATATGACAAAATAATAATTTATAAATGATCAAGGGTTCACGAGGGAGCGGGGAGTGGGGAGGGAGGGGGGAAAATGAGGCGCTGATGCCAGAGGCTTAGGTGGAGAGCAAATGTTTTGAGAAAGATGAGAGCAATGAATATGCAAATGTGCTTTACACAATTGATGTATGTATGGATTGTGATAAGAGTTGTATGTGCCCCTAATAAAATGATTTTTTAAAATATTATTTTCATTGTCTGATATGAAATTTTTTCCAGGGTAGACTGTTAGGAGAAAAAGAAAACAAGATAATGAACTAGGTATATGTCCTCTTTTATATAGGAAAGGAGGCAAATAAGAATATATATTTATATTTGCTTGTGTGTATATAACAAAACATTGCAAAGGTGTATAAGACACAAAAGGGTTTTACATTAATATGATTAAACCACTGAATAGCATGATATGTGAATTTTTGGTCAATAAAAGTTTTTTAAGAAAGAACTTTGTAAAAAAGCAGACAGGTCAAGAGAAGAATGGGGTGAATGGTTTGGAGTGGGAATGACATTTCTCAAGATACTGTGTTACTTCTGTCACACCTCAGAGGCTGATTTTACTCATTCAATTGTTAACCATTTCAATTCTTTATGTTAAAGTCTCCTGGCAAAATTTCTGTGTGGGTTCTGTCTTCTGACTGATATGATCAACTCAAAATAAAATACCAATCAATACCATTCAAAATAGTATTTTTAAAGAGACTGTGACTTTGGGAGTAAAAAAAGATCTGGGTTAGAAATCTAACCTGTGCTGCTTACTGGCTATGAGGCCCTGAGCTACTTATTTAGTCACTCAGAACCTCCATGTCCTATCTGTAAAGCGGGATCAATAATATCTGCCCTCTGACAACAGAAAAGTGGGTGAAGGGAGACATCGGTCAGTGTAAGACATGACAAATAATAATAATTTATAAATTCTCAAGGGTTCATGAGGGAGGCAAGGAGGATGGGGGAGAGAGGGGAAAAATGAGAAGCTGATACCAAGAACTCAAGTAGAAAGCAAATGTTTTGACAATGATGAGGGCAACAAATGTACAAATGTGCTTGACACAATGGATGGATGGATTGTGATAAGAGTTGTATGAGGCCCCAATAAAATGATTTTTCAAAAAAGAACTGGACAGGAAGAAACTCCAAGCCCACTGCCATTGAGTCTATTCCCACTCTAGCACCCCCATTGAAGGTTTCTAAAACTGTACATCTTTACAGGAGTAGACAGCCTCATCTTTCTCCCACGCAGCCACCAGTGCGATTGAACCACCAACGTGGTTAGCAGTCCAGTGCTTCCAGGACAGCGCTACATTGAACTTAAATGGAGATTTTATAAAACTGTTCACTCACAAACTTCAAAAGAATCTACAACTAACATGTATAAGCCAACTGCATGCCAATGCAACCGTACATGAAAAAAATAAGTATCAGTTATAATAACAAAATTATCAGATACTTAGAACATATCTAACCTAAACCCCACGTTCACTGCTGTCTAATTGAATTTGACTTATAGTGACCCTAAAGGCCAGAACAGAACTCCCCCTGTGGGTTTTCAAGGCTGTAGTTCTTTATAGGAGCAGAAAGCCTCATCTTTCTCCCTAGGAACAGCTGATGGGTTCCATCCACTGACCTTGTGATTAGTAGGACACCACATAACCAATGACGTCCCTTAATGAGACAGTTAGATGAGCAAAAATTAAAGTGTATGGTGGCATCCAGGGCCAGAAGAATGCAAATGGGTACATCTGCTTTGGAAGATAATTTTACTATATCTAATAAAGTTGAAGATACGTACGCATTATAAAACAGCAGTCCAACTCCCTCCCAGGTACCCATTCTAGAATACTCATGCACAATAGTTTTGTTTATCTAGTAAAGAATGTCTACCTTGATTGTTGCGCTCCTTTGGGATCAAATTGACAGCAGCAGCTCAAAAAGATGAGACAAGAGCCTTTAGGAGCAGTGAGCTTATGTTAGGGGGGAAGGAACAGCTCAGAAAAAAAAGAGAGTGAGAATGGTTGTACAATTCAAAGAACGCAACAGTGTCACTGAATTGGACATGCAGAAAGTCTGTCACAGCATGGTTTATAATAGGGAAACCAAATAACAAGAAAACAAACTAAACATAACAAGTATCCCTCAAAAACAGATCCCAAAACCAAGCTCAATGGTTTCGATTCCAATTCATACGAATTCTACAGGACTGAGTCGAAATGCCCCCTAGGGGTTTCCAAGGCTGTAAGTTTTACCAGGGGCAGAATGCCAAAATCGCTTCCCTGTAGTAACTGGTGGGTTTGAACCACAGAACTTGAGGTTAGCAACCAAAGGCTTAACCACTCCATAGCGAGGACTCCTTATCAACGACAGGTCAGATGAATAAATTTGGACAATCCAGATAATGGGACATTCTACAAGGCAATTAGCCTGAACTTTTCAAAAACGTGATGCAAGACAAAAAATGCAGAAGAATGTTCTAGATGAGTGTTTCCCAAAGTGGGCCCTACGCCCCCTAGGGGACACTGGCGTGATCCAGGGAGGTTGCAAAACCAATACCCACACTTTAATCTTGATTATGGACTATAGTACAAAAGTTTTCATTGCCAGAGGTAAATTATTCTGTTCTGAAAAGGGGGCAGTAGACCAAGTGAATCTGGAAGTCTGTGTTCTAGATTAAAAGACACCAGAGGTAGGATAAGGGCCCTGGTGACAATGCAGGCTAGGCACTGGGATACCAACCACAAGGCTGGGTAGTTCCATCCCCCCCAGCTGCTCCTAATACGGCTGTCTGCTCCTATAGCAAGTGAGAGTCTCAGGAATCTTATATTGGGTTGCTCTGAGTTGAAATTGACTTCATGGCAGAAGGTAGCAGTGGGATAATAAAATGCAACGCATAATCTTTGACTAGATCCTGAACTCGGTGGTATAGTAGTTGTGCATGGGGCTGCAATCCACAGGGTCCACAGTTCAAAACCACTAGTTGCTCCATGGGAGAAAAGAGGGCTTTCTACTGCCACAAACATTTACAGTCTCAGAAAGTCACAGAGAGCAGTTCTACCCTGTCCTATAAGGTTGCTGCTAGTCAGCATCGAATCAATGGCTATGAGTTTGGTTTTTGGTTTTAATATTATAATGCCTATTTTGAGGACAACTGGAGACATTTTAATACAGGCTGTGGATTCAAAACAAAAAAAATTAAACAAATTTTTAAAACTCACTGCCATTGAGTGAATTCCAATATATAGTAACCCTATAGGGCAGAGGAGAAGCCCCCCTGTGGGGTTCCACGTCTGTGAATCTTTATGATAGAAAGTGTCTGCTTTCTTCCACAGAGCAGCTGGTGAGTTTGAACTGCAGACCTTATAGTTAGCATGCAAAATGCATGACCCACTATGCCACCAGGGTTCTCTGACTGTGAATTAGAAAAAATTATTATATCCATGGTCATTTTGTTAAATAAGATAATGGTCTTGGGGTCATAGAAGAGAACGTCTTTGTTTTAAGAGATTAGTGCTGAAGTATTAGAAGTGCCATGTCTGCAACTTTCTTTCAAATGGGTCAGCCAACACAATGCATATGTATACATGCAGCTGGAGAGAGAGCGAGAGAAAAGAGAGAATGCAACTGGCAAAGTGTTATAAATCAGAAGATCCAGGTAAAGACTGCCTGAGTGCAAAAAAAAAAAGGAACTTTTCTAAAAGGTTGAGGGGAATACAAGAATGTCATACAACAGGATAATGTGGCAATGATAAATGACTGGTCATAATTGAATGCATGGATGTCAACAAATCTCATTAAAATAATATTTGTTCAGCAGACACTATTTGAAAGCTAGAAGGATAATAGGAAGTGATGCTTAAGACTTGAGATATCTAAGGTGCTCAATTCATATGAAGACCACAGGTGTTGGGTGTGGCAGTGAGTAACTGGCAGAACTGGGACAGAGGACAAGTCCTAGTAAGTGAAGATGTGATGGAACTGAAAGGACACCTTGCAGGGAGGATTCTCCACATGGAGATCAAATCCATTGAGTGGGGTCAAAGAGAAATAGGGAGAAGGAAATAAAGGCTATAATAAGTGCAGAGAAAAAAACAAGAATATTAATAGGTAGTGTTAATGTTCATAATACCAGTGAACACTTCCATACCATTTACAAGGATCACCTCATTTAATCAATCCTCATGGCAACCCTGTTTTTGTTATATTCATTTCACAGCTAAGAAAACTGAGGTTCTGAAAGGTTTAAGGTTCCACAGTTACCAAGTGGTGGCGCTAGAGGCTGCACTATTCAGGCAGTTTGACCATAGAGCCAGCAGCCTCAACCACTAGTAAGTGCTAAGCCACAAGGGAGGGCAGCAGCAAAGAAAGGCAAGAGTTTCAAAAGAAGTTGGTGACTTTGTGAAAGAGGAAGGAAGAAGATGTGTGCACTGGAAGGAGGAGGACACTCACCATGCAGGCCTGGGCCAGGCTCATGGCCAGGCGGAACCGGGCAGACATAGCGAGAGGCAGCAGGGGGCTGAGACCAGAGCCCACAGCAGGGTTGATCACTCGCAGACAACGAACCACAGCCTCTACAACTAGCTCCGTGGTGAAGGCTCGAAGGGTCTGCACATCTGGAGGAACTGCCCTGAAGAAAAAGGGGGCAGACTTGATTGGAGAAGTAGTCAGGAAACTGAGTCACGCTGGGCTATCCTGCCTTCTGGAGGACTGAATATCAGAGTGAGGGTGCTCACAGTTCTGGCAGGTCCTCCTGGTAACTATGACTTCCATTTGAAAAGCTATAAACTAGAAAAGCCCTCAGGTCCTAAGACTTGGATGTAGGAAAACCGTGGATGGATGGGCACTCGAGTTTTAAACATCTCAAATTTCCCTTATGGGATTGGAAAAAGGTCAAGGGATCCAGGTGGAATGGTCTCTGAGTTTCAGGGCCCCAGATATCATTTTCCCTGCATATCAGGGTGTCTAGGTATTAAGTTTTGAGAGGCTAGAGTTTTCAGGGTTTCTGGATGTCAAAGTCTCTGGATATCAAGACCTACAAGGTGGGGGGGGGGAAGACCTACAAATTTCAAGCAATCTAGAAATCGGGCTCCCTGGATATTAGTATCCTGGAATTTTAGGATTACCAAGAGTTAGGGTTGTAAGAGTTTAGGATTCTGGGATTCTATGTTGACTGGTTCTCAGGGTATAGGTGGCTTTGATGTCCAGATGTAAGGGTTTCAGGAAGTCCCCAGCTGTTAGAATGGTGAGACTTGGGTTCGTGGGGAGGTGGGGTGGGTACAGACCACACCAAGTGACACTGTCAGAGGGGTGACACCAAATTGGCTGTGTATAAAAAGTCTGTGCAATGTTTCATAAGAAATTATTTTTCACTCTCCCAGCGACTCGGACACACAGTGTAGCATGGCCAGACTGCAGCCGGGCCATGGTCCCATGCATTTGTGCCGCTTCAATCCTCTATAAACTCACTTGGATCACACACACACAAAATTATTTTTCATAAAAATATTCCTGTAAAAAAAAAAATATATATATATATCCCTGTAGTTAGTTCTAACAACAACAACCAAAAAAGTCTACATTTATCAACACAAACGGGCTTCAAATGGAATTAAAAGATAATGGAATTTTCCATGAACTTTTTGAAGCCCCCCCCATATACATATAAAGCTAAAACTCCATGCAAATTTACTTTTTAACCTTCCAATGTGTGCCATCAACCCTATCATTTTTACCCAGTTACAATGAGCTTCCAATCACACAGTTCTATGGAGAAGCTGCAGTGACAAGCTGCTGTTTCCCTGGTTGCTGGGGTCTTTATTGTAGCTGGTTTTGTCAAATTTTCTGGTGTTTTAGCTGCAACATTGTGAGTAGCAATTGAAGGAGAAAGTGTCAAAGAGGAGCCATTACTAATAATGTTGCAATTCAAGGTAAAAAATTTGACAAACCAATTTGGTTCTTAGTATCCATGTAATCTAACTATGTCACATATTATATGATACGAATTGATAGTTTAAGTATCACTAAGGACTCTGTGTGGTCTGGTATTTGGACGGGGGGGGGGGGGCGCCGCCGCGGGGAGCACCTTCAGTTACTGCACTGGGTGACGCCAATGGATTTCAAAGTCCCAGGTCTTGAGGCTTCCATGGTGTTGGAGTCCTTCGCTTTGAGTTTACTTTGAATCAGGGAAGAAAGGCCTGAGAGTCTGTCTCCCCACGTCTCCTCCCCTCCCAGGACGGCAGCAAGGGGCCATGGTTCAGTTCCTGGAAGTTGGAGCCCTCCCGGGTTTTAATGTCCCCAGGCTACAGGATCACGGGATTTGAGTCCAGGACCTGGGTTTTCCCGGGTGAGTCGGGGATGTGTCCTTACGTGCCAGCCTGGCGCAGAGAATGGATGAGAATTCGGTCCGCCTCCTCCATGACGAAGTCAGTCCTAGTCGTGGGCCCGGGTCGGTCCGAGGATTAGGGGCGCCGCTGCTGAGACCCCCCACAACGCCAGCCCTTTATGAAGTGTCACAGGCCCCGTGAGGAGAGCTGGGAAATGTAGTTCTCTAAGTACTGCGCACAGTGAGCGTCAGATACCTAATATATGCGTCCACAAGCTTGAGCGCGCAGTGGCCGCTGGGAATTGTAGTTTTCCCTCCTGCAGGCGGAAGTTCTGTTTGGTGCTGGCCAATGGGTCGGCTGGTTCCCACTCAGGATGAAACATTGCCTGGTCCTGCGCCATGCTAGCAATGTTCTTACGTTTGAACCTTGTTGCAGCCACTGTTTCAATCCATCTTGTCAGGAGTCTTCCTCTTTTTCACCACCCCTCTACTTTACCAAGCATGATGTCCTTTTCCAAGTGTCTGCTCCCTCCCGGTAACATGTCCAAAGTGCGTGAGCTAAGTCTCGCCATCCTGGCTTCCAAGGAGAATTCTGGCTATAACTCTTCTAAAACAGACTTGTTCGTTCTTCTGACTAGAGTCTTAGCTCTGCAACTTACTAAATGTGGAACCACAAGAAAGTAACATAACTTCCCTGTGTCTTAGTTTCATCATCTATAAAATAAGACTTTTTAAAAAACGTGTATTAACTTTTATTATTTTAAGCTTAATTTACTCCCGAGCCATGAGTTTTTGCTTCGTCAGCTTCTTCTGGGAAATCTTTTCCTTCTGTGCAACCTCCTCTTCCGGTTTGGGAACGATCTGTTCCTTCTCAGTCAGGATCATGTCAGTGTGGCAGGGGGAGCACATGTATGGGTTGATCCGACCATGAGCTCTGTAAGTCTGGCAGCGCATCTTGGGGGATTTGTTCACCTGGATGTGCTCAATGACCAGAGAATCCACATCTAAACCCTTCAGTTCAGCATGACTTTCTGCATTTTTAAGCAGATGAAGCAAAAATTCAGCACTCCTTTTGGGCCACCGACCCTGGGTCCAACCCCACTGTGGTCTGGGCACACCTACCAATGCCACCATTGTATCGTCGGAAAGGCACACAGTACTTCTGCAGAGTGATGTCTTTCAAGTATTTGGTGGCTTTCCGGATATGCATGCCTTTGATGGCTTGGGCAGTTTCATGGGTGTTCTTGAAGGGGACCCGGAGGTTTGACCCCCTTGATTTGCAGGATTTTGTAGGGTTTTCTGGGTCAAGTGAGTAGCGAACCATTTTGGCAGGTCACCTCAGGCCGCTACAGTAAGAGGAAGAGCCTAAAATAAGACTATTAATAACTCTCCTTCATAAATTTAAAGCAGAGTTGTACTATGTGTTCTACACATCCTAGAATAAGAAAATATTATACACATATGTAACATGGAGTAGTAGTGATGCTTTAGGCTGTGATCCGTAGGTCTGCAGTTCGAAACTACCAGCAGCTCCATGGGAGAAAGACAGTGCTTTCTACTAAGTAAACAGTTACAGTCTCAGAAACTCATGGGACAGTTCCACCCTGTCCTATAGGATCTTTATGAGACAGATCGACTCGTTAGCAGTGAGTTCGAGAGTCTTTATACACATATGTAATATCCAAAAACCCACAGCACGACAGTTGATTCAGACTAATAGTGACCCTGTAGGATAGAATAGAACTGCTCCATAGGGTTTTGAGACTGTCTATCTTTGCTGGGGCAGACAGCCTCATCTCTCATATGCGAATCCTACCATCTTAGTTTTCAAAATATCTTTACTTTTCTAGGTCCTCTCTACTTAAATTTACATTTTAGAATCCATTTGACAAGTTCATAGAAAAATCTATTGAAAATTTCATTGGGATCATATCGCCTCTCTTAGACACTTGGGGAAGAATTGGCATCTTCATGACATCAAATATTTCAACCCAGAAGTTTACTGTCTCTCTCTGTTTATTCGAGTTCCTTTTAATTACTGGATAACATCTGATACCTTTTCCCATGGAGAGCATGCATATTTTTTTTTTGAGCGTGCCTATTTTAATTTCTTCCTACATACCTCAAATTTTCATATCGGAAAGTTTTTTTCTTATTATTTTATTTCCTGATTTTTGGTTTTTGGTACAATTTGCTGGCATTTGGTACAATTTTAATCAGGGACTTTCCTGTTGCCAAGATCTGGCCCACATATGTCCCATCTGTCCCATTGCGCACCCTCCCTTCCACCTCTGTTATTGCTCCACCCTCTGACCTTAATCCCTCCAAAGCTGGGGGAAGAGAGGCGAGCTACATGCAGATGTCCCTTCAACCTCCAAAGGACGATGTCGGAATCTGAAGGCCAGAAAGGTGAGAAAAGCTTTCCACCCCCTGCAGACCCTTGGAACAAGCCTGGGCTTTTCTCTACCCTCTCTGCCTTCCCCTTTGTGCACAGGAAACCCAACCCCAAAGAGCCAATGAGGAATGAGAATCATATGACCCTGTTCCCATCCCATCCCAGCCAGCCTCAAACATAGCCCTTTCCCCACCGGGGCCCTCATGTTCAGACTATCGCAGACATTGCCCCCCATGGCTGTCCAGGCTTCATGCACACCCTTAATTCACAATTGAAGCTCCACCCCAATCCTCCTCCTGAGCCCTACCCTAGCGCTCTCCCACCTCCAACTCCAAAGCTTAACTCTTAACCCTAATACAAATTCTACTCAATCACAGGGCAAACCCTAATATGGATACAGATCTTACTATGAGCTCTAAAATCACCTAACCTCAATTCCAATCCTGGAATGTCAATGCTACTAGGGAGTGGGTCTCTGGCTTTTCTAGAATGAGCAGGGACCCATTTTTAATCGATAGCAAACACATACTTAACAATTAAAACAGGCTTATTGGCACATAATCCACATATTGTGGTAAATCTTAAGGGCTCGACTCAGAATGCCTGGGCTGGACTACCAATTCAGCTACTTCACTAAGTCATTTACCCTCTTTTTAACTCAGCATCCTCATATTCAAAATGGGGATAATACTATGTGTCTGACGTTCTTCTGACTGCTCTAAACTCACTGAAACGTCACTAAAAAACTCTATGAGCTAGGTACTCGCTTCATCCCCATTAAACAGACAGCTAAATTGAAGTACACACAGAAAGGTTATGTCATTTCCCCAAGATCCTACACAGCTACCAAACAGTAGTGTGAGGGTTTTAACTCAGACAGGTTATTTCCTCCAAACTTAGAGATTTAAAACTCGAATTTAAAGAGTCTCAGGCCAACTCTCCCACCTCTCAGTGTTTGAAATAGGTCGTGGGAGTTGACAATAACTTTAGCTGAAAACCCTAATACAAATCTCAAATCTCACTCAAAATTTGTCTTCAATTCTAATCAGCCTTGATCATAATTCTCAGCCCACCTTAATTTCAGTCCCCATCCTGACTCTACATCAAGCCTCAATTTCACTCTACTTCCCCCACAACCTACAATTCAGCCCTCAAACCTAATCCTAAACTTGACTCCAACTATGAACTGTATCCCATTCTATGCCAATTTAAACTCTAACAACCACTCCTTCACTTGGAAATTTGATCCCACCCTCACTCCCAAATAAATTCTCATGCTATCTCAGCACCCATCTTTACCCCTGCTCCGTGGCATAACCCAGGGCCTCCCCACTCCCCCTAATTCTGCACGCTCATCTTCCCATCAGTCATGATCATCCAACATCCTGTCCATTCCTGACTCATTTTCTCCACACAGACACCACTCCAGAGCCCTGTCCAGTGGATGGGACAGGGCCTGGTCATGAATGGGGGCTGTGCCCTGGCCCCCCAATCAAAGATGATGAAACCTGTGGAGCATCGGGTCTGGGAAGTCCTAGGCGTAGGACCCAGCACAACAAGCATAAGACAGTGCCAGTGGCCAGTGCACAGAGGTCACCTCGGGCGCTCTTTTGCCTCACCCTGGCCAACCCTCTTCGGCAATCCTGCATCAGCATCGTGGAATGGAAGCATCCTGGAAGGCCAGGGGCAGGGATCAGGATGAAGGTCACCCAAGACTAAGGTCACCAGGGATCAAGGGGTCAAGAATGGGATAAGAGCAGGAGTTTAGAAAGGCCAAAGTAATGGAGGGGGGTGGTGGAGGGCGGATGGTCAACAGTCAAGGTGGCGGAGTGGATTACAAATTGGGCAGCAGTTCAAACCCCCACCATTCGCTCCATGGAAGAAAGATGAGGCTTTCTACTTGTGTAACGTAGACTGTAAAGATTGACAGTTTTGGAAACCCATGGGGGCAGTTCTGGTCTGCCCTATAGGGTCGCTATGAGTAGAAATCAACATGATGGTTGTGAGTGAGAAGGTTGTCAGGAGGGTTAAGTCAAGGCCTTGATCAGGGCAACAATGAGAATGCCAGAGTGGGTCGTCTAGGACTGAAGGGTCAGCACAGGGTGGAGAGGGCACCAAGGGAGGGGGCAAGTCCTAGGCCACTCTGTCTGGATCCTTGACTGTGTCCACCTGAGGCCCTTCGACATCCTCATCCTGCTGACCATCTTTGCCAACTGCGTGGCTCTGGGGGTTTACATCCCCTTCCCTGAGGATGACTCCAACACTGCCAACCACAACCTGGTGAGGCCCACCTGCCCCAGCCAGATTAGAGGCCTACCTCAAACCTTCCACTCAGGCCCCCGTCCCTCTCGGACCCAAATGACCACTCCACACACAGAGACACCCACCCATCCCCATTCTGTTCCCGACTAGCCCTCTATTGCTCTCCCTCTTCCGCTCCCTACCCCCTACCCCCACCAAATAACTCCCCAGCCTCACTTCCCACTCCCTGTTTCACCCCCAGGAGCAGGTAGAATATCTTTTCCTAGTAATTTTCACTGTGGAGACCATGCTCAAGATCGTGGCTTATGGCCTGGTGCTCCACCCCAGTGCCTACATCCGCAATGGCTGGAACCTACTGGACTTCATTATCGTCGTTGTTGGGTATGTGTATACGGGAACATCCCAGTCCCTCTGAATCCTGGACTTAGGGAGGCAACTTTCTCAAACTACCCCTATCCCACTGCCAGAATCAGGAATATTAACAAATTTTCCATCATTTACATTTCCAGCTAAAGGGACTTTGGCTTTTCCAGGGAGAAAGAAGAGGTGGCACGCTAAGCCCAAGGCCAGACCTTTGCCTCTCCCAGTGGCATTCCTAGGTGGTGGGGGTGGCGTCCGGACACATCAAGTGACAGTGCCTATACATTTTTGTGTGCAGTTTAGCAGAGATTTCTTCTTCTTTTTTTTAACTAAACATACCCCTGTAGTTAGTTATAGGAGCACTGGTCACTTAGTGGTTGCTCGTTAGGCTGTGATCCACAAGGTCGGCAGTTTGAAACCACCGGCTGCTCTGAGGGGGAAAGACTGGGCTTTCTACTCCTGTAAACAGTTATTGTCTCAGAAACTCACAGGGGCAGTTCTACCCGGTCCTATAGGGTCACTAGGAGTCAGCCTGGACTTGATGGTAGTGAGCTTGGTTTGGCAATGAGTTATAACAACACAATATTGTTCATAAACTCAGCTTACATGTATCCATATACCAGTAAGCAGTACTGGGTTACCCAATAAACAAGAGAAGTGTAAGCTTATTTTTGCTTTTTCACGAAGCTATAGTGAACATGTTAACATTTTCTCACCACATCAGTGATTGCGCTTCTAGCTACAGCTGGGGTCTCTTTCTCTCCCAACCCTGCTGCACCTTCCAGCAGAATCAAAGGCCGCTTTCTACATGCATAATCCCTGACAGGGACTTAGTACCCAGTAAGGTAAGCATGAGCTTGCCTGTGCTTACTCACTAAGCTGTAGTGAACAATTTCACATGTATTTAAACACACATGAAGCTGTTCAGTGCAGATTTGTAAATATGCAAAAGCAAGCCTGTGCTTACCTTGCTTGTTGGATAATCCCCTCTCGTCTACCAGCCTAAAACTTCACGTTCATTTGCTTTTTAACTTCCTAATGTATGTCAGAATCCACTCGATGGCAGTGATTTTGGTTTTGAGGGGTTTTTTAATTCACTTCGTTCAGAGCTGTCATTCTTGCCCGGTAACAATGATACTTCCAATCACGCGGTGTCGTCTACACCTGCCTACAGATACTCACTACAAATAGCTGCCTGGGGTTTGATAATCGCTGGCTTTGTCAAGTGTTCTGGTGTTTTAGCTGTAATATTGTGGTAATTATTACTTGTGAACCAATATGGATAAGCTTTTTGAGAATTAAGTAGTAATTAAAGCAAAAGAAGGAGAAAAAAAGTGTAAAGGCTTCAGCTCAGCATTAATAATACATTGAGTGGTAACTCAATGTAGAGTTTACAAAATGATCTGTTGTTAGTAGTCACATAATCTCAGAAATAGTACATTTAAGCAATTTACAACTATATTTATCACCTATTAGCCTACGATCAAATCGATAATCAGCATCACTAAGAATTCTGTAGACGGGATGGTACCAGAGGAAGGCCAGGCAGAGAGGGCTAATATCCTGCATGCATGACCACACTTGGCGGCGCCAACCCTCATGAAGTCGCTGGCGGCTTTGTCCTGTGTTCCTCCCATCAGGTTGTTCAGCGTGCTGCTGGAGCAGGGACCTGGGCGGCCAGGGGACACCCCACATGCTGGAGGGAAGCCTGGGGGCTTTGATGTGAAGGCATTGCGGGCATTTCGGGTGCTGCGGCCACTGAGGCTGGTGTCTGGGGTCCCAAGTAAGGCCTATGCCCCCAGAGTGCGAGGTGGGTTGGTGGAAGTAGGACTGAACTGAGCACTCTGCGACTCTGCCCCCGCCCCTGGCAGGCCTGCACATCGTGCTGAATTCCATCATGAAGGCATTGGTGCCTCTGCTGCACATCGCACTGCTTGTGCTCTTCGTCATCATCATTTATGCCATCATCGGACTGGAGCTCTTTCTCGGACGCATGCACAAGACTTGCTACTTCCTGGGATCTGGTCAGCCAGCCTTCTCCCTCCCAAGACAGGCTATACCTTTTCCACTAGCTCCTAGTCTCCACCCTGTCCCCCAGACAAACCTCCCAAGTCCACATACTTCTCCACTAACCCGTAGCCAAGCCCCACACCTCTACTCAAACCTCTGCTCTCAGTCCTGGACTGCAGCCCCGAGACTTGCCCAGGACCCTACCCTCCTAGACTGTTGTCATGCGTCCAGATCCTTCATGTTTACCCCAGCCCCAGGCCTGGACCCCATTCTCTCTGGCACCCACGGCCAGAGAGTCAATTATTACGGCTAGTGACCCTGTGTCGGATTTCCCAGACTGTCCGTCTTTATAGGAGCAGATAACTTCATCTTCCTCCCACAGAGCTGGTGGGTTTCAACCAATGGCCTTGCAGTTAGCAAGGTCCTTGTGCTCCCTGGACCCACCGCTTTTCCCTCCACTCGTTGAGTTTGGCAGGCTGCAGTGGCTGGCGTGTTGTGGTGGTGCTGGAAGCTATCCCACCAGTATTTCAAATACAGCAGGCCACCCATGGGGGACAGGTTTCAGAAGAGCTTCCGGGCTAAGAATAGACTAGGAAGAAGGAATAGGTAGGCCATGTGTGACGGATTCGCCACTGAAAAACGTAGGCAGAGCAGCAGAACATTGTCTTTTAAAGACCCCCTTCCAAATTCACAAGACTCCGCCCCTAAGATTACTTACAAGCATCCATTCTAGGAGTCCTGGTGGTGCCATGGATTAGGTATCCAGTGCCAATCACAAGGTCAGTAGTTCAAATCCATCAGTTGCTCTGCAAGAGAAGATGACGCTGTCTGCAAGATACTGCTGGACAAGTCCTGTAAAGATTTGCAATCTGGTATACTCTATAGGGTCACAGTGGGTCAGAATCAAGTCAAGAGCAGTGCGGTTTGGGGTTTTTACCCCAAGATATAGAAGCTCGTTTCCCCACTCTCAACGGGGGGTACTTACAGCTTCCCTTTGGGCTGAGAATCTTGGTCTGTGTTCACAGAGTTCCCGTAAAGGCAGCGCTAAGTCCTTGACTTGGAAAGCTAGCAACTGAGTCCAACTCCCTAGATAGAGAAGGGCGTGGAGGGCCATGGATTGGGCTTGGAGAGAAACCTTGAACTCCGTCCCCTTGCAGCCGTGGAGGCAGAGGAGGACCCGTCGCCCTGCGCGTCCTCAGGCTCCGGGCGTGTATGCGTGCTAAACCACACGGAGTGCCGCGGGCGCTGGGCAGGACCCAACGGGGGCATCACCAACTTCGACAATTTCTTCTTCGCCATGCTGACAGTCTTCCAGTGTGTCACCATGGAAGGCTGGACTGACGTGCTCTACTGGGTAGCTGAACTGCGAGCACACAGGGGTGGGGTGGGGAAAGAATCCATCCTGGAGACCATACCTGCCCTCCCTCCTGGCGCTCAGGAGAGAGTGTCTATACCGCTGAGTGATGCACGCCCCTTCTCTCCCCAGATGCAGGATGCCATGGGGTATGAGCTGCCCTGGGTATACTTCGTGAGCCTAGTCATCTTTGGATCCTTCTTCGTTCTCAACCTTGTCTTAGGTGTCTTGAGTGGGTAAGAGACCAAGACCATCCCTCAGAGCTCCTCCCCACCCCTCACCCTTGTTTGTGACGGGCAAACTCCCAAAGCAAAACAAAACAAACTCTAACTGCTGTCGAGTCGATTCAAACTCCTAGAGACCCTCTAAGACAGGGTAGAACTGCCCCCTGGGGGATTCTGAGACTATAACGCTTCACAGGAGTTGAAAGCCTTGTCTTTCTCCCAGAGAGAAGCTGGTGATTTTGAACTGCTGACCTTTAAGTTAGCAGCCCAACATGTATCCCAACAGGACTCCTATGACAAACTTCTAAGCATCATTCAAAACCCACCTGAAATGCCCTTCCATTCAGTCAATCAATATCTATTGAGCATCTGTGTACCAGGAACAAAACAAGAAATAAGCATACCTGCTAGCCTGGAGATCCTTATTCTAGTAGGGAGAGAAAGACAATTACCACCACAAAAAGTGTATATATGCAACAAGTAAGCATATATGCATTCAAGTGTTTTACATCGAAATCTATGCTATGAAACGGAAGGAAAAACGAAGAACAGTAATAAGAGCAGATGTTGTAGTTATAAATAGCGAGATCAGGGTAATGATGCACAGGCAATTGCTGCAATTTCTGTCAAGAATTTGTACACCTTTAAAAAGTTGAACTGGCAAAAGTTATGTGATAGCTGTATTTACAACAAAGACACCCCCAAAATGTGACTACTTATGCACAACTGAAAAAATTATGGGTTTCGATTCCTTGATTTGGACGTCTAGTGTCATGATTTCATGGGACATCCCAGTTAATGGCCTCTGTCTAGTACCTCTGTTCTACATCCTACTTCCTTGCATAGTTCTTGGGGTCTTAAAAGTTTGCTAGTAGCCATCAAAGGCACAACAAGTAGTCTCGATCCACCTGGAACCACAGAGGAAGAAGTACAGTCGGGAAGAAGAGGAGTACGTGGACTATGTTGCTAATTGTCTCCATGGCCAATGTCCCCCTTTGCCATAAGATCAGAACTAGATGGTGCCCAGTTGGCCTTGGTGAACATTTTCACCAAAGATTATATTAGAAGGGGAAAATACAGAACAGAATTCAGATTCTCATGGACTGTAGACTTTCTGGAGACATGAAGGGTAAACTTCTAAAATGCTTTCCTTGAGATAATCTTTAAACCTTAAACAAAAATATCCCCTTATAACCATCTTATAACCCTTATAAGCCATCTTATATCCAAACAATAGTTTCGCTTAACTAGTAAAAGAGATCTGCCTTGAGCATTATTCTTGCTATCCCGTTTCTTTCCATTGTTTCAGCTTTTTATTGTGAATTGAGCAAAGGTTTACAGAGCAGTTCTCCATTCCATAACTCATACGCACTTTGTTTCATGTCATTGATTGCAATCCCCACAGCGTAACATCATTTATCCCACTTCTCCCCTGCGCTTCCTATTTCCACTCCTCCTTATTGCCTAATCCTTTTGAACTTCATATCTGGGTAAATGTTGCCCTTTTGATCTAACATATGTTTGAGTGTTATTGTTCCCTTACGCATCTGCCTGCTGTTTGGCTGAAAATTGAGCCATGGAGGTGAATTCATTTCCAGACCTGAAGGATGACGCGGGGCCATAATCTTGGGGTTCCACTAGTCTCTATCTGACTAGTAATTTTAGTCAGATCTTGAGTTTTTCCCACATTGTCCTCCCACTCTCTCCAGAACCTTCTACTGTGATCCCTTTCAGGAACTTTTCTTTTTAAAGAACTATCTATATAAGATTAAACGAACAATAACAACTTAAAGATTAGATCGAGATCTTAGGAAGCAATGAGTTTATGTTCATGGGGGAGCAATAACTCAGAAATGGAAGGCGAGAATGGTTGCAAAGCTCAAAGAACACAATCATTGGCACTAAATTGTACATGTAGAAAGTGTTGGATTGGTATATGATTTGCTGTGTATAGTGTAAATGATGACCAAAAAAATCAACTTCAAGGGAAAAAACTGGTGATAATGACAACATTCTAAAGTTAGTGGCGATGGATACACAACCCTGCGAATATACTAAAAACCACTGAATTGTATACTGCTACACATGAATTTTATGGGATGTGAATTATGTCTCAATAAACCTGTTACTTTCAAGAAAAATAAATAAAGAGTTCAGAGCCACCCTCATTGAAAAAGGAGTGTTTGAATATAAACGCGAAAGAGGTGAGGAAGTAAGCCATGCAGGTATTTGAGGGAAGAATGTTCCAGGCAAAGGGAACAGCCAGTGCAAAGTCTCTGAGTCTAGAATATGCTTGGCATATTCAACGAACGAACACTGAGGGGGTCAATGTGGCTGGAGTAGTGAAGTCCAGGGAAGCAGAGGCAATTCTCTCACCAAACCTTCGTTTCTCCTCCCTCAGGGAGTTCTCCAAAGAGAGGGAAAAAGCAAAAGCACGAGGGGACTTCCAGAAGCTTCGGGAGAAGCAGCAGTTGGAGGAGGACCTGCGGGGCTACCTAGATTGGATCGCCAAGGCTGAGGAGCTAGACACCGAGGATCCCTCTATAGGCGGCAGCTCCAGTTCTGTGGCTAAAGAGGGCTGGCCTGGCCACCATAGACTGCCCCCCCCCACGTCTGTCCCGTTCCCTGCTTCCCCCAGGCACTTCCTGAGACCCTGCCCCTAGACCTGGACCACGGTTATGTCCCAGGACAGAGAACCCAGACAGAGATTCAGATACCCTCACCACACTGCGCTAGAAGAAAGATTCCAAGTGCCCCCACACCAAGACAGGGCCCTAACCCAAGCCATGTTCTCCAATTTCCCCCACAGGGCCTCAGCTGGCTGAGCTGACCAATAAGAGACTTGGACATCTGCACTGGTTCAGTCACTCCACCCGCTCCACACACTCCACCAGCAGCCATGGTAGCATCTGGCTCAACTAAGACAGGGCTAGGGTGGGTGGGCAGAGCAGAAGGCAAAGACTAAACTCTGGGATCTGCAGGTTCTGATCTCTATCCCCGCCCTTCCCACAGCCAGCCTTCCCGCCAGTGACACAGGTTCAATGGTGGAAACCCCAGGAGATGAAGACGAGGAGGAGGGGATTCTGTCCAGCTGTACACCATGCCTGTGAGGGCCCTCAGTTCTTGAAGCTTGACCCCAGCCCAGAACCCAATCCAGACCCTGACTGCAGTCCTTACTTAAGCCTCACCCCTAGACCTTGGCTCATGACCCCCAGCCCAGGCCACTGACTAGCCCCTCTGCCCCGAATGACTCCCAACTTCCATCTCTCTCTTTTCCAGAAACAAGGTCATGAAAACCAAGGTCTGGTGAGTTAGGAAAGTTGTGTGGCTTCTTGACTTCATGATACCCCCTCCCCACCTCCAATCCCCCGACAACTGTCAAGTCCCCCACCTGAGTCCCTCCGGTGGGGCTTGAAGAGGTGAGCCCCGCTGATGGCCTTTCTATTCCTCCCACCTAGCTACCGCCTCTGCCGAGCCAGCCGAGGCCTACGAGCACGATGCCGGAGGGCCATGAAATCCAATGCCTGCTACTGGGCCGTGCTGCTACTGGTCTTCCTCAACACACTGACCATCGCCTCAGAGCACCACGGGCAGCCTGTGTGGCTCACCCAGACCCAGGGTGTGCCCCACCCCTGCTCCTGCCAGTCCCTTCCCTCACCCCACTCCCAGTTATCGTCATCTCAGAAACTCAAATCCGGGATTTCGATGACCCCTCCGACCCACAGACACTGACTTCCCACTCAAATGCAGAAAAGTTTAGCTGGTCCCATGCAACTTTGTAGTTTACATTTATGTAGCATTTACTGGTCAAAATCTCTGTGTACCTTATTCATCTTCACCACACCTTCAGTGAAGTAAATGGCAAGGCAGAGAGTCCTGAATACCCAGGAACCAACTAATCCCCAGATTCAATACTTGAGTGGTAGAGACAGAATCGGAACCCAAACCACCTGACTCCAGAGTCTGGGCTCTTAGCACCAAGTTGTCTGGACAAGTTAACTCCTCTGCGCCAGAAGTTTCCCATCTAGGAAATGAGAATATGAGTAGTATTCATGTGGTAGTTGGTGGGGGGGGGGGAGGGTAAATGAGTAAAAGGAGAAAGTGCTTAGAATATCTCCCAGCCCCAAATGGGTACTTTATAAATGTTAGTGTCTATTGTCAGTCACTATATCCTCAACCCCAATCTGAAAACTGACTCTGACCCCTACCCCAACTCTTCCCCTTGCCTCAGCTCCAAGTTCCTCAAAACCTCACCCACTCTAACCTACAAACTCGCTCCAATTTCTAACCCCACCCCATCCCAAGCCTAGTTTTTTTGCAGATCCCCCAGATGGCCCTTAGCCTGTCATCAGACACTGGCAGCCCAGTCAGCCTTGCCCCTCTCCCACAGAATATGCGAACAAAGTGCTGCTCTGCTTATTCACGGTGGAGATGCTTCTCAAGCTGTATGGTTTGGGTCCCTCTGCCTACGTCTCCTCCTTCTTCAACCGCTTTGACTGCTTCGTGGTCTGTGGGGGCATCCTGGAGACCACTCTAGTGGAGGTGGGTGCCATGCAACCCCTGGGCATCTCAGTGCTTCGCTGTGTGCGCCTCCTCAGGATCTTTAAGGTCACCAGGTATGTGGGGGAGCAGAAAGGATTGGGTCCCCAAATATAGTCCTACCAGTCCCCACCCCAGCTGGTAACTCCATCTGCATCACCACTCATTTAACAAATATCCATGGAGTACCCACTGCAGGCCACGTGCCTTTCCCGGCCTTAGGGAAGCACTAGAAATCAGAGGAGACATTAAGTTCCTGACCTTCATGAAATTATAATCCAATGGGGGTGGAAGGGATGTCTGATTCTTTTCCATCCTCTTACTCAGCCTCAAACCCAGACCTAACATTGTCCTCTACTCCCTCTCCAAACTCAACTCTGTACCTGTTTCTAACCAAAATCCAATCCCATGCCCCAAATATAATGTCATCCACTAACCCATTTGCAACCCTACCACACAATCCCAAACCCAATCTCATTTCTAACTCCCAGCCATATCTTTATCCCCATCCCCATCTCTAACCACCAACTATAAACCCATCCTCAGTCGCTGACCACATTACATCCCTAAACCACCACCCTACATCCAACATCAAATTACCAACCTCAACCCCTTTCACAATGAGTCTCCAACTCTACCTCCCTAAACCAATCTCATTTCCATCCCTAACCTCTATCCAAATCTCTACCCAACCCACAAGCACAACCACAACCCAACCCTCAACTATAGCCTTTGCCCCAATTTCATTTCCAATACCCACAAAAAAACAACCCATAACCACAACCCCATACTCAGCTACAACTAACCACAACCTTTCCCCCTAACCACAGTCCCAACCTAAATCCAGTTCTAATTTCACTAATACCTACACCCATCCTAACCTCATCTCTCACTACACCCCTAACACTAAACCCTACTTTCTCTTCACTTCTTACCTTGGCCTCACCCCTGCTCTGACCTTGACACCGAACCCCAATTTGGCCCAGCCCACACCAAGTATGAGCAAAGCTGAAGCCCTCGCTCATATTTCTGCCTCACCAGTGGACAGGCTACTAACTCTACCCATTTCATCTCTGTTGCAGACACTGGGCCTCTCTGAGCAACCTGGTGGCATCGCTACTCAACTCAATGAAATCCATCGCTTCCCTGCTGCTTCTCCTCTTCCTCTTTATCATCATCTTCTCTCTGCTTGGCATGCAGCTGTTTGGGGGCAAGTTCAACTTTGACCAGACCCACACCAAACGAAGTACATTTGACACCTTCCCCCAGGCCCTCCTCACTGTCTTTCAGGTGGGACCTGAACACCTTGGGCTGGGTGCGTTAGTGGTTGGGAGGGTCTCAAGTGCGTCATGATGACATCCCACTCCCAGATTCTGACAGGTGAAGACTGGAACGTGGTCATGTATGATGGCATCATGGCCTACGGTGGTCCCTTCTTCCCAGGGATGCTAGTCTGCATCTATTTCATCATCCTCTTCATCTGTGGCAACTGTATCCTGGATATCCGGCGAGGGGAGG